GGTGGGGGATTTAAAATGCAGTTGATTTTTCTATAACTAAAACTTAAAGGCTGTTTTTAGGCTCAGATTTATGCTATTAGTATTTTTTTTAAATATTGTCTAATGTGCTGACACCACTACCTACTTATTATCTTTACCGTGACTCTTATTTGTGTAGGACTCATCTGTGCCTTTCTTAACATATCTTACACAACATGTTCTAACTTATACAATTTAATCAGAGACTAGGTGAAGTGTTTTTAAAAAAGACATTTAAAGAATACTTTATATATATATTGTATGTACAGTACATTAAAAGTCTCATATTTACTGTTTGTTAAACGTATTCATTTACTGATATTTTTTTATTTCTTTCTATGAACTAGGAACTCTGAGAACTATGTTTACAAACCTCTACTTCATTTTAAGCAAGCGGTTGTATATTTTATTTTATTTCATTTCGCAATTTGTAACCAAAGCCAAATTCTGTTTGGCTTCAGCCTTTGTTCCGTGTTCTCATTCTGTATAAAGGACTCTGTCAATTCACTCACCGCCCACATTGCCGTCCAAGAATGCGTATAGTTCAAATGGCCGACTGTGTGCTGAGGCCCTGCCTCGATAACGATGGCCTGTACGATGGCTTGGACCTAGATTGTTCCGCATGATTAGGCAGAGGCAAAACAGAAGTTAATGTAACCTTGTCTCTGTGCTCTGTGTTGTGGTCAACCACATCTTTGTCTCCAGCACATGTGTAAGGAGTTGTTCAGAAGTGAACAAACGAGATTGACAGAAAGCTGAAGGAAAGTGGTTAAATGTCACAACATGTATGATGTCTGAATTGAATTATTCCTCTTTGAGGTACGACACGCAGCAAAAGCGTGTGGATGTGAACTCAGACTATAAGCTTTATTTTATGTGACCTGACTGAACACCCGTGAAGAACTGATCTCACAATTCAGATTTAAAGGGGCAAAGTTGAAGATATAAAACCTCTCTCACAAGACACTGCATGGTGTTCAATCTAAGTAAGTTCAAGCTACATTCATTGGCTTTCTTTGATTTTTTTTTGAGTGTGCCACTTTACTGATTTAGTTTAAAATGAATCTGTTTTATTATTGACAGTGATGAAAGTGTTAAGACGAACAAAAAAAGATTCCAAGTTTCTTGGACGGAGAAAAGAGGTGGGTGGGAGGATGAAGCTTGAAGGAAGACACGGCTGTCCTTGGCCTACAGCAGCAGGACGGACATGGACCTCTCAGCCTGGTGCTAAGAAGAGAGATAAGGCCGCCTCATCCAGCAGCTGCTCCTCAGGAAGGAGGAGACACAACCACAAAAGATCAATGAGAGGCAGAATCTGTGGGCATGCCGACATATTTGCACCTCAGGGTTCATTTTAATAGAACCTCACTTTATCGCAATCATTTCATTACAGTGTTGGAATATTACATATTCACGATGCAGATATTCATGCAAGAAGCAGCGGTTGTGTTCCTCTTCCTTTTTGTTCCCAGTCTCAACTAACTGGTCGAGCACAGGGCGCCGTGAACAAGAGGCAACAAAGGAACAACCTCAGTTCTCTTAAGATTGTATGTGCGTGCACGCCTGCACATCTGCTGGAGCGATACAAGCTGTCCAACAACTAGCTGTCAGTGACCTACAGCCTCAGGCAGGAGTTTACACGCTACAGACCCGGTCAGCCCAGGACCTGAATCTAACAGTAATGTTGCATATACTCTCTCTCTCTTCCTGTGTGTGTGTGTGTGTGTGTGTGTGTGTGTGTGTAAAAGTAACATAAGGCATAATATGGCTGCAAAAGCAAGTAGATCAGCTATATATCTGGTGCTGCTCCATGTCAGCAGAGAGGCATATTAACTGACTTATTGAAAGAAAAAGTATTGTTACCGAAGTCATTACTGAGGTGATACACTTACACTGAAGTCAAAAGAGGCAGAACCAGCTCCCTTTCACAGGGAAGAGTCCTTCAAAAGCCTGGAGTGGATCCCCCCCCCCCTCTTGTCAGTGAAATGTCACTTTTCTGGCCGAGTTCAAAGCAATGGAAATGGGTCATTGTTGCAGTTGGTGGATGGAAGCTGTGAGGATGTGACAAGGACCAGCGCCGGGGGAGAAATGAAGGGAGGATACAGGATTCGGGGAGGAGAGGACATGAACCAACTCAATGGAAACTATAATGATGTTAATGCAGTTTGATGTCAAGTTTTTTATTTTCATTCAATTTGATTGGTTCTGGTGTAAGAATAATATTAATAATAATAATATTAATGTGTAAATGTATGTAAACATAAATGACCAGTCAGTTTGTTTGGTGTAATGCATGCTTTCATGTGTTATGTATGTGAGTGCTTTTGTGCGTATATGCATGTGTGTGTGTGTGTGTGTGTGTGTGTGTGCGTGTGATGTCAGTCTGCCCACGGCGCTGCAGTAGAATGGGTTGTCCTGAATATAAATCAGGTGACTGAACAGGCCGGGGTTTCTTCCCAGACAAGCCCAGAAGATTGTGTAATGCCTACTCCTACATTACTGGTTTGCATGTGCACACACACACACACACACACACACACGTATACACAACCCCTTCTCCACTTGGTGAACAACACAACAAGCACTTTGCCAGTCTGCCCTCAGATAGACCACCCGGTTGCACACTGAAGCTCACTGGACTCTATTTCGGAGCTTTCAAATAATCTGGACAGGACCTTGAATTCCTGTTGGAGTGGTTTGGCTTTAGTTTGATTTGATTTTTGGTGGCAGGACCTCTTTCTGTCCTGTTTGACTCTTGTTCTTTTACATTCACTGCTGTGCTGGAATTTCATCCCGCTGTGAATGCTGAAGTTGGCGGGCGACCCTCAGAAAACAGGAGGTGAAGTGGTAACCATGTGGATCCCGACCCCCAGCATGACTCGCCCTCAGCGTCTGGTGCTCTATGGGACGTGTGTTGTGGCGTTGATGAACTCTGTGGGCCTTATGGTGCTCTTGGTCCAGCAGAATCAGCAACGCGCCTTTCTGGAGCAGACGGAGGCAAAGCTGACGGAGGTGGAGCAGAGCTCGGTGGTGGAGTTCCTCCAGGAGGTGCCGAGAGGAGCGGCGGGGCTGAGGGCGAGCGCTGGGGAACACCAGCAAAACCAGTATCAGTACCAGTACTCCAGGAACAAGAGAAGTGAAGAGCTGGAGAAGGAGATCCAGCAGGAGATGCATCAGGAGGAGGGACAGGAGGTCCATCAGCAGGAGGCCAGCCAGGAGGTGGGAGAGGAAGCGGAGAAGAAGATGAAGAATGAGATGAAGCACAAGCACCGACACGGCCAGAGTTACCACAAAGCACACGTGCAGGATGACATGATGATGATGATGACTTACTCCATGGTCCCGGTGAGATGAGATACCTGCTGGTGGATATTTATATGACAGAGAAAGAGTGAGAGAGTGCAGGCAAATAGATTTATAAATAAACAGTAACATTATTTTGTCATTGCTGACTAAATGCTGCATCACCAAATTGGGTCCCGGGCCCTGTGACCATCAGAGAATCTTAAGGTTCCAAGTCCAGCTTGTGGCAATTTGATTAATGGAAAATGTGTTTACTAATGCTGTACGCACCACTCTGAAACAATAGGAGCCTTAAGGACCCGCATTATTACGCAATCGCAAGTACATTATTATGTACCTGAGTGTTTCATGCCTTTAAGCCTTCATGTACATTTCAGAGGGAAATATTGTATGTTTTACTTCACAACATCTGTTTGACAGCTATAGTTAGTTTGCAGATTGACGCTCTACATAGAAGACAGTTTATGAAATATGATAGCATTTAAAGTAGTTGAACTAGCAGGACCAACTATAACAACACAATGATTGTTATATCAGTGATACTAATCCTATAATGTAATATAGGATTAGTATGGGGAGGGGGGGCATTGTTTGCTTTTATTGGACAGAGGAAGTGTAGAGGCCGACTGGAAACGGTAGAGAGAGATAGAGATAGAGAGAGTGAGAGTGTGAGAGAGAGAGAGAGAGAGAGAATGTTTATTGATTGGCAATATTAGAATAATATTTTGACATTTTCTCTTTCTCTTCAGATCAAATTGTTGATCGACATTTGCAACAGCACCAAGGGAGTCTGCATCGCTGGTATGTCTTACTCATGCACTTTGAACTACCCACTCATGTACAAAATATCACTTTCTTTTGTCACAGTTCACACAATGCTCAATAGAAGCAGAGTTCAAACGAGGATAAACACAACCAACCGATCTATGACCCTTTTTATTCTCTAACATCTTAAAAACCTTCTGTTGCAGGACCACCAGGACCGCCTGGTAAGTGACTTCTTCCTTCTGGATCCAAATTTAAAATCCATTCTGTACGTCTCCTTTGTGGTTAAGTGACCCGTATTCTAGCTGAATGCGTTTTCCATTCATACACATGGTGAGGAGTGTTTTTTGTGTTACCGTAGGTTTGCCCGGTGTGGACGGTCTTCCCGGCCACAATGGGACTGATGGCATCCCCGGACTAAATGGACTGCCCGGGGCTGATGGGAAAAGAGGAAAAAAAGGTAAGAAATAATTGAGACTCTTTTCTGTTTTCACTCACCATCCATTCTTATCAATGCCTCGAGCAACGCTGGCCATTTTAGTGAAGAACTACGGGTACAATGCAACAGTCAAAGGGTTGAGTATAACCCGGGGTTAAAGATACCAAAATACCAAGAAGCACACGTAGCCACTTAAAATCATGCACACGCACACACACACACACACACACACACACACACACACAAAGATTCAAAACATACCAACACACTCAGTTTCCTGATCCATCCATTTGTCATGATGACGTCAGATTTGATTCACAGACATTTCTCTCACATTCTCAGCTAATATTATTCGTCTCTGTGGATTTGGGCCGCCGCTAATTGAACCGGAAAACTCCTACCCAGTATTCTCCCACTTCACTTCACTGTTCTCCTCCACAGCGGATGGCACGGCTCTAGGAAGTCAATGGAATTATTCATGCTTTTAACAATATAGGGCAAAGTGTTTTGAGTTCATGAATGCAATCCTGGAGCTATTTTGCACGATTTCCTCCGTCAGGTGAGAAAGGAGAACCGGGTGAAAAAGGAGAGCGAGGAGAGGCTGGTCTGCCCGGAGAGAAGGGACAACCGTCCAATGACGTCATTATTCAGGGCAAGTCGAGCTTTACACGCATGGCTTTGTGTCACTTGAACCATTTTGCATCCATGACTTTTTGAACTAAAATTATGTACAGATTTGCAAAGATATCTTTCAAAATGAAAGAAAAATAAAAGATCTGGGACACCACTCAGAATTCATCTACTTTCTTTTACATCCAGAGGGTTTAGATGTCGTCCTCTTCTCTTTGTACAGGTCCCCCTGGCCCTCCTGGCCCCCCAGGACCTCCTGGCCCTCAGGGGCCTTCCAGAACAAGGCACCACAGAGCCAACCTTCAGGCTGCTCATTCCCTGGGTAGGAGGCCTCTGTTGATTTCATTCTTGACCTGGGAAACACTAGTTAATCTCACCATGTAGTCGTTTTTCTGGAGCTTTTGAATGTATCACACAATCTACCAGTTTGCCCATTTGTCAAACAAGTGCGTTTCTTTTTTTGAGCACTTTAAGGACTTCTCAAAGTCCTGAAAGTGCTCAACATTTTAAAAACATTATCTGAATGTCTAATAACTACAATTCCATAAAAACTGGGCGGCTCCATCAGCTGAGGAAGAACAGAACAGGAAATAAATGGTCCTTGTGGTGAGAGTGTTGTGTCAAGCACACACCCTATGTGAACAGCCAGTGATGTAACATGACATTTTTTTCCAACAGGGCTCTTACACGCAATTCCAAATGATGAAACCTCATCTGCAAAGGAGGCTGTGAAACTCCACGAGACTCCTGCTAAGAATAACGGTGCGTGTTGAGAGAAGTGTGAACAGTATGCGTGGCAGAGACGTAAGTATCTGAGCTTGGTGTCATTTTGTTTCCCCTTCAGAGTGCCTGATTAAGTCTCTGATCAACCCCAGGAATGTGACGAAGATGGAGAGCACATTCGGCACGTGGATGAAAGACACCGCTTGGCTGAACGATGAGAGAATTTGGGTTGCGGAACACTTTTCTGGTAATGTTGGATGTTGGATGTATGTTGGACTACAAAAGCTGTAATAAGCTCTTCATTACCTTTTTTTTTTTTTTTTTAGCATGTTAGCAGTGAACATTTTTGCTCGCTCTTCCCCAGGTCGTGTGGTGAAGGAGTATCAAAGCATTACCTCGTTCCACAACAGCAGCAGCGATGTGGATGTTAGAAAGTTCTACCAAGGCTGCGGCCACACTGTTCACAACGGTTCCTTCTATTATCACATCGCCGGTACCTCCAGCATTGCCAGGTGAGCCTAAAAGACGGCATGAAGCTTTGCTATCGTTTCCATTCCCTCTTTTTAACAACTCTTGTTTGTTCACAGATTTGACTTCCTCACCAAGAGGCTTCACACTCTCACTATAGACAACGCTCTGCACCACAACCTGGCCTACCTGCTCCACAACTCCAAAACCTACTTCAAACTGGCGGCAGATGAGAACGGCTTATGGCTGATCTTCGCCTCCAGTGTGGATGAGAGCATCACAGTGGGCCAGCTGGACCAGAAAACCTTCTCCGTCGCGTCCTACGTAAACACCACCTACCCCCGCACCAAGGCCGGCAACGCCTTCATCGCCTGCGGGGTCCTGTACGTCACCGACATCAAGGACACCAGAGTCACTTTCGCTTTTGACCTGCTGAAGGGGAAGCCGGTCAATGTGACCTTTGACCTGAGGTCTCCAGGTGGCGTGCTGGCGATGCTCTCCTACAGCCCGAAGGACAGACACCTGTATGTGTGGGACCACGGCTACGTCAGGCTCTACGTGGTCCACTTCATCTCCGACGAGTGACGGACAGACAACATGCAGACATGACTGTTAAATAGTGAGAACTGGTGCTGACTAGTGGGCTACCAACTACTCAATCCATCTTTGGGAACTGCTCATATTTAGATTTTCAAGAGAAATATACACTTCAGTCTCAACTTTATCTTCCTGTAGAGCATTCCCGTCAGAAATCGGTTGCTAAAAACCAGTGTCCCTGAAGGAGTTTTTGGTCAATAATTATTGTCACATTGTTAAAGTTAAATACTGCTGTATTTATATCCTATTGTACATGTGAGATTTTGGAGTAACTAACAGAGTGTAAACTTTTTTTTATCATTTTGTATCAAACAGTTCATAATTTATACATATTGAACTTCTAAACTCTATGTTTGTGGCCGTCTGTGTTGTAAGTTGTCACATTATTTAGTGAATTTGCATGATATTATCTTTTATGTATTTTTATATTGATGCACATGTTGTCGCCCTCTGATATTCTGTACATATAGACAGTCCGCCTGTCGTTGTAATGAAGCAGCATGGTCCCTGCTGGTCGCTCATTCCTTCTCGACAGAAAATTACAAAAAAACAACAGCGCCAAATCAGCCTGATGAAATAAAAAGAATTTATTGACTTTACAAAGGTAAAACTCTGACCATGACCTGTTCTCTCACACACCTCCAGGCTCAAGTGCCCTAGTAAGCGTCTACCCATGATATTGGCTTCTTTTGCATTATTTCATGCACACATACCAGACACCAGTAGGACCATTGTAAAACACGTAAGCTACATACAGTACACATAGTGGGCCGAAAGTGGGAGAGAAACACAAATCTCTTTAATAAATACCATACACACACTTAACAAAAGATACAACTAATCCGGCTGGTATGATACAAACCAAAAATAAAGAAATGCTTTCATGTTTGTACAAGCTGTTGTGGTAATTCATATATA